AGGGATCAGTATTGGAACCGGCGCCATTTAACACCTTTGTCAGCAACATGGCCAGTGGGATTGAGTGCACCCTCAGCAAGTTTGCTGATGACACCAAGCTGTGTGGTGTGGTCAACAAGGGACCTGGACAGGCTTAAGAGGTGGGACTGTGCAAATGTCAGAGCTCAACAAGGCCAAGTGCAAGGTCCTGCCCCTGGGTCAGGGAAACACCCAGTATTGGGGAGGGGATGAATGAATAGGTTCAAAACAGTCCAGAGGAGAAGGACTTGGGTGTGCTGATTGATGGGAGCTCAGCATGACCCAGCCATGTATACTTGCATCCCAGAAAGCCAACCAAATCCTGCATCAAAAGCAGTGTGGCCAGCAGGTTGAGGGAGGTGATTGTCCCCCTCTGTTCTGCTCTCATGAGACCCCACCTAGAGTACTGCATCCAGCTCCGTGACCCCCAGCATAAGAAGGACATAGACCTGTTGGAGTGAGTCCAGAAGAGGCCATAAAGATGATCAGAAGGCTGGAGCACCTCTCCTATGCACACAGGCTTAGAGTTGGGGTTGTTCAGCCTGGAGCTGGGTCTGGGGAGATCCTATAGCAGCCTTTCAGTACCTAAAGGAATCTACATGAATTGGAGAGGGGTGTTGTACAAGGGCAGGTAGTGATAGGACAAGGGGCAATGGCTTTAAATGGGAGAGTAGGTGTAGATTAGATATTAAGAAGAGATTCTTTGCTGTGTGGGTGGTGAGGCACTGGAACAGGTTGTTCAGAGAAATGGTGTGTGTCCTATCCCTGGAAGTGTTCAAGGCCAGATTGGATCTATTCCTGAGCAACCTGGTCTAGTGGAAGGTGTCCCTGCCCATGGCACGGGGGTTGGAACTAGACGGTCTTTAAGGTCCCTTCCAACCCAAACCATCCTATAATTGCAAGGCTGTGAGACATCTTGCATGACCAATGTGGTGTTTATCCTGGGTGTGTAGGAGAGAATTTTTTACCTTAAGCAATTACAGAAATAGGAAGCAGGATATAATGGAGGAAGATCCCTTTCTTATGATGGACTTTCACCCTTATGAGCAGGACTCCAGTCTGCTGGAGAACTGGGTGCTTGAGGATGCAGAACTAAAATGTTACGTGAACCAGTAGCTAAAATGATGCTTAATTTTTCAAGTGTCAGCTCTATTTAGCAGTGCTATTGTGCTCAAGTATAGGACTGGATTATGTGAGACTTTTTCAGGGGAGTTACAGTGAACAAATAAATCCCTTTTCCTTTTTACCTCAATTTATCCCTCCACAAAATTGTGTCCTTCTGAATACTTTGAGCTCTCCTTATTATAAGCTCTACCATGAGGGTTATAGTAACCAAGGAGAATTTCTTAACTGTCTTTTTGGTGATTTTGCATGGAACAATAATAACTTCAGATTATTTCTGCCATACTGTTTTCCTCTTCCTACATATATGTGTGAACCTGTGATTTTGGCCCACACTGATTTCCTTTTGGTTGTTTTTTTCTAACCAGGAGCAGAAGATTCTTTTCATGGAGGTCTGAAACTTCTTGGCAGGCTGGCACTTCTAACAGAGAAAGATCTTTGGACTGTTAATGGTCTTCCCAATGAAAATAACTCTTCTGACCACTTGCCATTGCTAGCAGAGTTCAGGCTTATTGAACGGTAATATCCAAAGGACCTTTTGTGTGGGTAAAATTAGCTCCTCTCTTCATGGGATGATTATTTTTTTAAAGGTTAATTCAAGCACTGCTGGTCCGGTTTAAACACATTTGCTGCATGCTGATTTGTTAGTGGTGTGTAAAGTAGACTTTTTTAAGAGACTTTTTTTTTTTAAAAGAAAATGTTTAAATTACTTTATGAAGTCTTTGAGGCAAAAAGATAAGATTTTACATTAAGTTTCGTCTTTGATAAAGGAAAACGTCCGTGCCAGACTCAAATTGGCATTATTTTTCATGGAGATGATGTAAATGGTTTTTATTGCAAGTCATAATAAAAAAGGATTATTCTGAGAACTGTGTGCTTCTTCAGGAAAAGGGGAATGTGTTTGTGTGCCTGTAATGTTTTATAATGAGCTCAAAATAATGTTTTACTACAGAGGTGCTATGTGGCCATTTCTAGCTAAACACATCTGCAAAGGAATTTACTTAAGAGTGCAGAGGCTGCAAGATTGAACTGTATTTATCAAGTAATTAAACAACTACCCCAGACTGCCTGAATGGGAAACTTAAAGGGGGGGAAGAGAGAGGAGAGACTGAAAAGTCTTGTAATTTGTCAGGCTACATGTTGGTATGTAGGTAGAATCAACTTAAAAGTAAAAGAAGTTTCTTTCAGTGTAGTGCTGGAAAACCAGCACTCCAGTGTAGTCCCTGAAATCAAATTCAGATGCATTTGTCTCCCAGAAACATGTGTGGAATTTTCATCTGGGTTTCCTTTTACTGACTGCAGACAGCAACTGCAATTACTTTGTGTTTTGAGAACAATGCAGGAAGTAGAGTTGAAACTAGTTGAATTAAAGTTCTTCAGTGTTACATTACACAAGACAGCAATTGCTGAGAATTTGGAGTTTTTCTCACAAGTAGTTGTAACTAAAGATCTTTAATTCTTACTAGTCAGGTTAATGCTGAATATGAGTACCTAGTTAATAGTGGATGCTGTTTGTTTTCAAGTCTCTGAGGAATCTCAAAGCCGGAGTCAGGATGCCACAAATCAACAAATTTCTGCACACATCCAGGGTACAGCTAAAAACACTGTTCAGCTGTAGCAGCTCTTGCAGTCTGTGTTAAGAGGTAGGACAAAAAAAACCCTAAGTCATTAAAAAAAAAAAAAAAAAAAAAGACTACCATGATATTTTTATTGAAGTTTCATGCTGTGCATAAACATACAGGTGATGAATAAAAGCCCCAAAAGTCATGCATGTTCTCTACACTATTTGACCACTTGGCAGTCACTTGAACCACACTTAAGACAAATGCCATCATAAGCAAGTTTCAAGAGAATATTCCAGCTGAACTTCAAAACAAGAACCAAAAGCAACTTGTCACACACCTCTACAGCATTAAAAAGTTTCAGTATAAGTTCGAGGTTAAGAGAAAATAACTCATATTGTGCTGGACAATGTTAAAAACTATATACAACCACCATTACTTGAGCTGAAGTAAACCATGGTTTCATAGAAAAAACTTGCAACAGATCAGATAATCTTGTGCTATAGGATACAGCTGGTCAAGAGAAATTTTTCCACATCGTTTTATCCATGAGAAACCTAAGGGATACGTAAAAAAAGAATTGTTTAGGTTACAAGACATGGAGCAGCACAAAGTTTGAAACTGAAACTCTGCAGCTGACACCAAATTACACAAGGATTTATACCAAAGGAGTATTTCCCTCGCTTCAGCTTCACTCCTTAACCACAAAAATCCCTATGCGAACAGGAACAGAAAAATTTACATAAAAAGGGATGGGAAAGGCCTCCCTGTAATTGATATGGTAAACTTGGATAAAAGAAGTGTCATACGTTTGAAAAGTTTCCTTTCTAGACCTTCTAAAGTCTTACTACCTTCTAGTAGAAAGCCTTTCACTGGCTGTAGAAGGTTGCTTGGTGTTTTCTTCCTGTCCTCAGCTGATGAAATTCATTGACTTTTTTGAGCAGTGAGGTCTGTGGTACAAGCAATCATCTCCTTTTGTATTCATTCATTTGCTGGCTGATAGAAGTGTTCCAAGAGCTTAAATCATTCCATTTGAGCACACACTATTGTCACTCTGTTACAACATCCTTCTTGATGGAGATCCCAAAAAAGTAAGTGCCCAGGAGGAGAGGTATGCAAGGCCCACGGCAGTATCATCTATAAGCACAGCACAAGGGGTAGAGGCTGGACTTGTACAATAATCCAGTTTATATTTAGGCACCTAATGAAATATTTCCAGGAATGCAGCACTCGAATGCTTCCAGAGAACTAATGTGAATGGCAGACTGCAGTGAGTCTCACCGTGTCGTTCGGGAACGCTGCTGTCCGTCGCAGGTCCTTAGCCAAGTCTTAGAACAAAAGGATGGAGCAGGGAGGAAGCAGCCAAGCTTGATTTCCAGCTATTTCAGACATACTTCCTTATTCCAATCTGACTAAGCAGTTGTTACTACAACACATGTAGTAAAAAGTCCCTAGGGCAGCACGGCAGGAGGTTAACTTCAGCCTGCCATGTCTGATCTTAATATAAGATGTCAAGGCATCACCATTGGAGACTGCTCAGCCTGTCAAGACAAGGTTCAGATCTACACACAAATGTGGAAAGAAAAGCATACAGACTCAGGTTAGCAATCCTGACAGTTTTTCCATCATTCCACATACATATATGAGGAGCAAATTGGCTAATAGGTGAATACTTGTCTCTACAAAAGAGCAGTCTCTACATTTTGTGCTTCAGCAGTGTACTCCGGAAAGACTAAAAGCTTGTGACAAAAGTATAAAAAAATTATCAAAGTTTAAAAAAACCTTATCAATTTTCATCATTTAAAAAACCCAAACCCTTGTATCTTGCCTAATAAGATGTCAGTGTTTAAGAATACGCTTGCATATTATTATTACTTAACATCTTATAGTAACATGCAGAAAATAATAATACAGGTGGCAGTAAAACATCCAGTGCTGTTTTAATACTACCAGAAATGCTGGGAAACAGTACAAATTAGTTACAAAACAATAATACTGACAGTTTTGCATATCTATTAAGTCTATTGAGGTAATGTTGATACTTTAAAAACTCATGCCACTTCTGCACTGCTTTGCTTTTATTGCTGAATTAAATATTAATACGGATAATTTTTTAACTGCACTGCACCCCAGCACGTCTTAACACTAAGAATATGATTCCTTAGTTATCCCAATGCTACATGTTCAATTAAAACGTGTACAGGGAAATGATATTTGAAGAAACTCACACCACTGGAGTCACCTGCTACATGATGGAAGGGGGAAAAAAAAAACAATTATCTTGGCAAACCTAATTTTAGGTTCTTTTTGCTGATGCCTTTTCTATAAATTGAAATAAATACTGCCACCAAAAAAAAAAAAATCCCCCCCTTCTATTTTCCAGGTAAAACTTTTATTGTAAGAGTATATAAGTTAATAAATTGTCCCATTCCTTTTTCCTTCCAACGGAGTGCAGGTAAAGTGCAGCAGGAAGCACCAGGGAGCCCTCTGTCCGGCGTATGGCTTGCTTAGATGCGGAGCTGGTAGCCCACCTCGTTGAGTGTAGCCAGGTCTCCTTTCTTGTCCAGCACAGCAGGCCTGTGAGCAAAGGAGGGAAGAGGCACTGCTGACCAGCAATCCCACACTGCCATGCAGGCGTGGAGAGCACAGTGGTCACAAAATAGACCTGACCAGATCTAATTTTCTCATCGCAAGCACGATCCTTCTGAACCTACCACGAGAACTAGTGTGACCCTGCTGTGAGGAACAAGTTGCCCCACGCTGAAGTCCCTGATCTGAGCCTGGAAGCACCCCCTGCTTTTGACTTGAGAGGGAGCCTAAATGAATAGCTGAGACTAGACACATTCCACCTGTCATCTACCCCAGAGCAGGACTCAAGCTTTTAGAATAAAGCTGAAACAGCTGAGAGCAAACAGGCAGGGCCTCTCACATGGCCCCAGCATGTTGTGTCTCTGAGCCTGCCCTTTCCTCTTGGCTAGAGCTGTGTGAAGGGCTAGAGCCCACCAAACAGAAGACACCAGGCAGACTCCCTTCAGTCTCCAGACATCCAACAGTCTGATGCAGTACAGCCATTCACTCGAATGACCACACATACATGGATTCTGTTAGGGCACTGAAGTCTATTAACAGCCTGAACCGAATGAAACCTTGAGCAATCAGTCTCTTTCTATTAAGCAAACAATGGAAAAGTTCCTGCAACAGAGCTGTCAAGTCAAAACAATCCTGTGGATTTACCGTCTATGGAAGTGTCTAACCAGAGAGCTTATCCCAGGCTCTTAATTGTTTTCACACAAAGCTGCATGTTTGCTTTTCTAAAGATGGACACAAACACATTTCTCCTAGCATTCTACAGCATGTCTGCTTCACTGCAGAAACACAGCTAAAGCCTGAGCAGTACAACGTGAAGCTGGTAACGGCTCCAGGCTCCTTACAGCCCCTGAGACCAGCTTACTCCTTGCACATTATGCAGCAGATGTGACCCTCGAGCCTGCACAGCCAGGCTGACGCTTATCTCCCGGCTGCAGGCTGCCTGCAAGCTGCTCTGGGCAGCCAGCACGGGCTCAGGAGAGGCAGCACACTGCAGACAGGCTGTTAGGCCATGAGAAGCCCAGCTCTGCCTGTGGCATGCTGCTGGGGGCACACACCAGTCCAAGAGCTGCACCACTGCAGCCCTAAGAGGTGGGAATGTATAACTTACACATACACGTGTGTGGCAGAGCCACCAAAATATTTTTGAACTACTGGATTCAGTAAGTGAATATTTATTTTTAGGAGCAGAATTGCTAACACCAGATCTCTGCTGAGAATCTGCACAGCATTTGAGAGCTGGGGGCATTGCTATGGACAGCTAATGCTCTTCTGCCTAGCCATACATTACATGAAACTTTCACCACATATCCAAGCACCTCTAATAATAACCCCATTATCCTCTTTGTAGTACTGCCCGGCACCTTGCCTCATTTTATAAATACTTCACAGAAGTGAAGGAGTCTTCACCGGTCTTTGTCACTTGCAGGAAGGGATCACACTTAAAGAAATCACTATTAGATAGTGTGGATTTTTCCACTTTATTCCTTCAGAGCAGATGGGATTTGACTAGCCACTAAACAAGCTACAAGCTGCATCCCTCAGAGCTTGCGTAGGAGTCTGAGACCCACAAGAGATGCACTGCATGAAATTTCCGGTGTCCTCCTTTCCTTCAATTTAGGGATCCTCTTCACACCCTCTTTTCCTTTCATCCCTTTAATTAAAGCCAGAATATGGTCTTAATTAAAGTATGGTTCTACCTTCTCTGATGATCCAGGAGAGATGGGGAATCACTGAGCACCCACGGCAACATGCCTGTTTCCAGGCCATGACAATTCTCTATAGCTCATAGCCACAGAATGTCCTTCATAAGGTTTTAGGAAAAAACTAGAACTTGTTGGACCAGAGGCACCACAGATACCACTCTCCTTGGCTGGCAAATGACCTATCAAACCTGCCCTCTGAAACAAGGCACCTCTGCTGTACTGGCCCATCAGATCACTCCTCCTGTCTGAAGTGCCTTGACCATGAGCAGGTGAGTAAGCTGTACGTAGTTGCTGAGTACATGGTATTCATGAGCTGTTTACATTGGATCTGCCTAATTTTTCATATCCCAACATAATCCTGCCCCCTTGCACATCCCAATAAAACAGACTAACAGAATTTTCCTTTCAACAACTACATTAGGCCAGAAGCATGCAAGACCAGTGTTGCCATAGCACTCACTGAACATGCATGTGTTAAGCCTCAATATGAAATGGAAATAGATCTGTGAACTGACACTCAGGAGCAGAGACCGCTTCAGGCTGCTGCATGATGCTCCATTCCAAACTCAGAGCAACTCTTCCAAACCCTTCCAGCTCCAAGCAATCCTGTGGAGGATGAACACTGCATCGCCTGTTTCAGTACAGGCTTGCAATTTACTGCACTCTCCTGCTTTGGGACTTCAGAGGATGAAGAAGTGGATACAATGGAGCTTCAGACTTACCAGATGGATTCACACCACTCTATAGTATCCGTGCTGGTGACCCTTAGGATCATTCCAGCTGTGGGCTAAGAGCACATGGACTGTTGCACAGCTCAGTTTGACTACACACCAGCCTGCTGGACAGGCACCTACTGTGTACTGCATTGCCACCTGTGTCCTGGAATGGGCCCTATCTGCCTTGTAGCTGCATTTCCAGGCTAAAATGCTATCATGGGCTTGCTAGCAGCCACCACTAACATTCACCTAATAAACTAGTAAGGAACCAGGATGGGAAGTTGAAGGTTTGAGGCTGTAAACTCCTCTTCTGTACTTAAGCACCACTTCAGCCTTTGTCCTTCAGAGACAATCCAGTAAAGATTCCAGTTCACATATTCTTCAGTGGGAGATTTCTCCCAGCAGGCCCATATAATTTTACTGTTGACAAACCCCAGGCTGTAATAACAGCTTGTCATCAGCAGGTGAAGCCTTTCAAATGAATGTGTTATTCAGTGCCTGCCAACTCACACTAGAGCAAAACACTTCTCTCCCCCTCCCCTGCAAGCTCGAAAAAGCTGTAATTATAGCATGTGAGCAAAAGATCCACAAAGAAACAAAACACAGTGTTGATAAGAACAGCCATTCTTTAGTTAGAATTTCAGCCTAAAGCCTAGCAAGCCTTAAACCCTTTCCTCTGAGTAACACAAAGGTCTTTCAGTCCAGCAGGTTCTGAGAGCTACATCAATATGCAGAAGAAATTACTCAATTTCCCCTCTTGTATTTCTCACCCCATGTCAACTGCTGTAAACTGGCATGTGTCATTTAGCTCATTCCTGGTGGGGGGATGCCATTCTCTCTTCAGAGCTCAGAGATCTCCCATTGTAGAAACCAGCAGATAGCAATTTTGGAAAAGAAAGGGCTTTATGACCAGAAGGGAACTCTCCACAGCAGCACACTCCTCTGCAGCATCACACCCACTGGGGCAGAAGATACACAGTCAGCCTTTGAGCCACCAGCACCATTGCACAGGAGCATCATTTAAACACCAGGAACTCAGCACTAAGTGCCACATCCAGTCTCTCCTTAAAGACCTCCAAGGACAGTGACTCCACCACCTCCCTGGGCAGCCCATTCCAATGTATAATCACCCCTTCTGTGAAAAAATTCTTCCTAATGTCCAACCTAAACCTCCCCTGGCACAGCTTGAAACTATGTCCTCTCGTCCTATCACTAGATGCCTGAAAGAAGAGACTGATCACCATCTGCCTACAACCTCCTTTCTGCCAAAGCAAAGAAAGATCTCATGTGAGGAGTCTGTTCTTGATGCTCTGCTCCCCACATCATGCTGCAGGTGGGTCCTGGATCTCGTATCATAGTGACCCATATAATTTGCTCCATATCTAGAGCAACACAGTAGAACCACTGACAGGTAACAGGTGCTGAAGCCACAGCAAGGCCACCTGTCACTCAGCTTTCTGCCCTGGAAAAGCAAAGCTGCCAAGGAGGAATCAGCCACTGCAGAGCAGCCACATGCCCAGCAGCTCTCCCAGGAAACCAGCCCAACTGGAGAGTCTCCAAGCCCAGAGAGACTCACTCCTCTCCAGATATACATGATCCACTCCAGCAACTGCAGAAGCACTATCAGAAACCCAAAAATTAAACTGTCCCTCAAAGAGAGTCTCAGAGGTGAAGAAGCCTGAAGCAGCTGAGCCCACTACAACTATAATTATCTATGCACTAAAGAAGGAGCTCTCAGCGATGAAGCCCAAAGTACAGCTTCGTGGACTGAGTGTGAATTCACATGTAAAAATAAAAGCTTGCTGTGAAATCATCTGCTGCTAAAGTATCCTGAAGTTATCTTTAGAAAGGTAGTCTAATGTCTTTGTTATCTGCTTTAAAATAAATAAATAAGTGCTGAGACAGTAGTCTGGGAGCCTATTTAAAAAGCAATGATCATAAATATGTGACTAATCTGGGTTACGTATAGGCTTTCACAGTTGTCAGCTTTCTGGCACGAAGCAGTACAGCTAAAACTCAACTCTTCCACATTTAAGGTAAGGGAATCTGAATTATCAGTGACTGTAAAAGGCCTGTGATCTAGAAGCTTGGGTTTATCCATTTAGAGGTATTGCAGGCAGTTAGTCCATTCTTCCCAACACAGTTAAAGAACAACTATTAGCTACAAGGCACAAGGGAAGTGATCTGAGGTTTTTTTTAGCTGATTAAAATAAAAAAAAATTTGCAAGTGATGTTTCCACCATCCCTGTAAGTTGGACAGTCCAAGGACAGAGTGCCCATCAGGCAGCAGGAAACACAGCAATGCCAGGACATCAGCAGTACCAGCAGCTTCTGGAGCTTCTCTGCTGACTCGCCAGGTACCTGGGGCAGTTTGGCTATGTATCCCAGTGAGGACATGTAAGTCTCCTACAGCAAAACACACCATCCCCTCCATGTGTGAGCCAGCAGTGACGGTGGCAGGAGTACTCACGATTTATCCCTCCGGCACGCCCGTCTCTGGGGGCTGGCCTGCCTGCGGCGCGGGGACAGCGACTTGCCCCGGGATCGCTCTTTCATCGGAGAATGGGCACTTGAGGGTTTCAGAATCTGTGAGAGATGGGGGAGGGAAGGAATTGGCCTTCAGTAAAGGCAATGATTCACTGAAAATCAAAAATAAAAATAAAGGGCCTCTAACAGTAGCGTCGACAGCACACAAAGAGCCTTCAGTCCCTTGGGGCTTATTCAAACCCTGCCCAGGTTGAGAGGAACCCAAAGCTGTTACCATGTGATAGCTGTTCAGGGCCCCCCCTGCAAAAATTAGTTGGTGTCACCAATTCAGTTCCCAGCTGAATACTGTCTCATCCATGGCTTCCTTTAGAGCTGGCCACAGCAAGGGATAAAAAAAATGGCTTTGAACCTCAGCTGAAGGACACTCAGGCAGCCAAATCACACTCTCCACAAACAGAGGAGACCATCTCTCAGACTACCAGCTGAACTCCCTGACACTGAGACTTTTCAGCAGGTCTCCCACTCGCCCACATCCTCCAGGCCCTCCAACCTCAGAAGGCCTTTAGCATGGCACTCACACTCCAAGTTATCTTTAAGATCTGATCCTCCAAAGTCAACCCCCTCACAATAGGAGACCTCCGAATTAAGTGGTTCAAATCCTGAATTAACTCAAGGGAAAGGGCAGATGCAGAGCCTTCAGCCTGCAAGGGGTCAGGGCTATGGTCCTGGCCCTGAGGCACTCACAAGACTGGGCCTAATGTCAGAGCTCAGCACACACAGAGAGCTGGTCCCTATATCAAAAGCAGGAACAAAATTCAGTAAGTCATCAACCCATCTGGACTTCTTTAACTAGAGCCTGCTTCAGCTGTTTGCTCTCTAGATAGTACTAACAGTATATGAATAGAGAGGAAGGGAGAAAAAGTAACCCAAAAAAAGTCCTGGTCACATCAGTAATCAAGCCCCATGGTTAAGACAATAGTATGGTACAAGATGGCCCTCAAAACTCCTTGGCAGGGCAGGAGAGAGAGCAGCAGAACATAAGGGCTAGGCTATGACGCCCCTGGCAACACTCACCCCAAGGGCAGGGCGAGGGGGCAGGTGCCTCAGCCAAAAAGGCACGTGGCTGCTACGTAGGAGCCGTTCTTCAGCAGGGCAGGGGACGGGAACCCAGAATAACTTGGATGCAGTGCCACATACCTCTCCACAAGAGCCAGACCCATACTTAGCAACACACCTGCTATGCTCTCGCTGCCAGCAGCAGGCTGGAAAGGCACCAAATCGCTTTCCACCATGACCTCAAAAACCCATGCCAGCCTCAAAGCATGGTCAGGGACACCCCTCATGCCCAAGGGCAGCCAAACCCTCCAGCCCCCTGGCAGCCTGCCCCGTGTCCCCGTTGTTTCCCTCTGAGCTCTTCAGTCCAACCAGCCATCAGGGAAGCACCAGTCTGTCAGGACTTGCTTTGTTCACCTTTCCCATGTAACCTACTTTGTGATTTAGCTGAGGGTGGTGGACATCAGGTGGCACAGGGCAAGCCCACTGACATGCCCTGCAAGGAAAAGATGGATATGGATGATAGGGATGACTGATACGGATGTCCCATGGCGACCCTTGCAGCTCAGGTACAAAGAACAAAGACCTCTATCTGCAACCAGGCCACTCACCCAACCCATGCTTAGTCTTCACAACCACCTTCTTCTGGAGTCATTGAGAGAAGCAAAGTGGGCAATAGTTCCTTGATGGCCAGGGACAAGTATGGGTTCAAGAGTTTTTCATGCTGAAGGGGAGATCCTTGAACTAAATAGCTATAAGGGCTTGAAAACACGCCAGATCCTGCGGAAACACCACTGAGGCAGATGTAAAGCAGACACCCAGCGTGTTTTTCATGCTGAAGGGGAAATCCTTGAACTAAATAGCTACAAGGGCTTGAAAACACGCCAAATCCCGGGGAAACACCACGGAGGCAGATGTAAAGCAGACACCCAGCCCACAGGTCAAGTCTGTTGACACAGAGCAAGACCCATTTCTGTGGGATGGGACAAGCACAGCCATCTCTGAGCCCACCAGCCAGGTGCACGGACCTACCTTCATCCTCATATCCCTGGCAAACTTCTCCAGCTCCTTTCTGACTTCTGTGCGCATCATTTTGGATACATTGAGTACGAGCTGTTTCCACTCGATGGGCTGAAAGCTGTGCGGCTCGTGCGGGACATACAATCCGATTTTCACTTTTTTGACTGAATGCAAGTACTTTTTATAGGAGTCTTCAAATTCAAAGATGAGGTCGCTCAGAGTTCGGTAAGTCAGAGGTTTGTCCATCAGGTCCGATCTTCTGCTCATGCCCAGCGAGCCGTACCGGCCATTGCAGTAAATCCCAAGCACCACATGATGAAAATAGTTCCCTGAGAAGTGGGTTTTAAAGCTGATGGGGAATCGTTCCACGGAGGGCTGCCCGTTCGTTAGGTATCTGGTGAGCACTGTGTCAAGGCAACAACAGTGCTGAGAGAGGAGCACAATTAACATCTGTAAAACATCCTCAGCAGTTGGGTTATTTTAGCTGCCAGGGCAAAGCAGTTTTGTGCAAACAAATTTATTCTCACTGTGCCCCAGAAACAGTCAATGCTGCCAAACTCCATTTCACTGACTGAAGAGTAAGATGAAATTGTTCAGACAGGAAGGGCCTTACTCTTGATCATGCTTAGTGGGAAGGTTAAAAACTACAACACTGTTCAGGTCAGCACACCCAAAGTGAGAACACCCTCCCCTAGATCTAGAACCTCATTTTCTCCCATCTTCAAATAGTACCTAAAATTCTGAATGTATTACTCTCCAAGGTGACAGCCTGCCTTCCCTTCTGTAAATTGGCCCTCAGCATTGCCACTTCTCATACAAGAGTGTTGTGTCACACTTGTAACACATTGCTGAGATAAAGTAAAGCTCCTAGATGAGTAACTAATCAGGTAAGTGCAGAGACATGGTCAGAAACACTTTTAAAAAGCAAAACGTGACCCCAGAATCACTGGCTAGCCATTTCAAATGCACCACATCCAGAGGCCAGGACCAAGCTCCATAACAATGTGGTATGTGATCTCAGAGGGGAACTATGCACAGATCCAGGCTCATCTCCTTGGGAAGCTGCTGGCCTGTGCCAGGGAGAGGACAGGCTGAGAATCCCTCACGCAAGCAGGTTTGCGTCAGCACCTACGTTGCACACAGCTCCCTGCTGCTAATCCCCAGACAGCTGAAACCCTCCCTGGCTCCATGGCCTGGCACCTGGCCCCTGGGACAGCAGGTGCTCTTCCCCTCTGCAACTGAGGCCCCCACCCGTGCCTGGAGAATGGAGGAAGGATGACCAGAAAAGGCTGCAGAAAGACACTCCAGCCCGGGGTTACTCCAGCCAGAGGCACCTGCTGTAACCCTGGAGCCATCCCCAGAGGCAGGTGCAGGCAAGGCAGTTGGTCAGAGTGGTGCCACTACAAAATACACTGGCCCAAAGGGTAGCACTGCCAGGATAGGGTCAGGGCATCCTGACAGCTGGAGGAGTGGGACTGCTTCCCACTGGAGCTGCAGGAACCAGCTCAGACCAGGATCCTGCTCTGGGGATCTCCTCCTCTCCCTACCCTGTGCCCAAAAAATGAGGTATTTAACAGCAGCAAAACAAGAGCCATTGCACAGCTGAGATATCCTGGGATGTTACTGCAACCAGCCTTCCTCCCAGGTCACATAGCTGCCCACAGCTGCTGGGAAACTGAGAACACAGGAAGTCTTTGTACCAATACCATAAAACACAATTCAGACTCAGTTCTAGTTCTGCCTGGCCTGAAATACCACCCCTTGCCAGCAGTGCAAATCCCCAGGATGTTGACCCCTGCCCACACCCCACATTTCACCTCTTCTCTCTATAGGGATGCAGGAAAACTAACTCTGATCTGTCTCTAAAGCATTTTCTCAGGGGGATATTTCCCCCACCTGAGACTTGTTGAATTTCACATATTCAGACTTTTGCCCTCCAAGTGAACACAGAAACCAGTAAGCAATTAAAGAACTGCCCAGAATCTGAGGTCAAGAACAAGGAGTTATGCAAACACACAAAAAAAACCCCCAAGGCAAGAAACACACATTGGCAAAAATCTTTCAGAACAGCCACAGAGAAGCTTTTTGGTTCAATGTCAAATATGTTTAACTGTGTTCAGGGCTAGATGTCATCAGCTTTAGCAGCGTGGAGTAAACATATTAGAGAGTATAGAAACAGCACTATGGGGCCAGCTCACAGTGCACTTTGCTATCTGCACAACAGTCTGGATGAGTGTACAAAACAGAGCACACACCTCCCTACCACACACGTATGTCTCACCCAGCCAAGGCTAAGTGCACCCACCTCCTGCTTCACCTATATCAAACACAAACACCCTGCAGCAACTGTGGAAGCCCAGCCCGGTATCAACTACACCAACACAGAACAGAAGCAGCTCTATTTGCCCTAGGTGGTCTCTCTGAATCACTTTTGCCTTAAGACTAGGTTCTCCAAGAAAAAAAACACACCACCAGTAGAACTAAAGATTATAAATACACTGCAAGGTGAGAATGGGGCCCAACTCCATTATGTCAATGGGAAAACTCAGCACACAGTCACCTCATTTAAAAGGTCACCTTGCTTTGGGCCTTAAAAGGAGCATCCTGCATACATCAAAGTCATGTCACAATAATTTGTGTCCTACAGACAGACTCTTGCAAAAGCCCATTGTATTTATCATTCTGTGTAACTGAAAAAGCAGTATCTTTTATTAACACCTGTGAAGCTTTCAAACATCACCACTATTTTTCCCACTCATTATTAAAGGGTTTTCTCTCTGCTCCCCGAGTGCCTTTCTATTAAGTCTACACAAAGCTTTGGTGGCCACCTGCCACACATACACACTTCTGCCATGAGGTCTTGGAGATGTTGCAATTTAATCTCATTAAATACTAAGCAGGAATAAAAGAATCTTTTGAGGACAGAAATTACCCACCATCAAATACCCCAGCAACAACTGCTGTGGAAATTAACCTTTAGGCACAAGTTGCTTCTGCTGAGTGACTAGTTAATGAGAGTCCCCACCCAAGATGAAATACACAGCAAATGGGCTGGAAAGGTATGTCAGATCTTCCCCTCCATCTATGTATCATTATTATATCTTTTCCTTTCTGCTCTGCCCAAGGCGAGCTGTATTGTGGCAAACAAAAGGCAACCACACAGCAATGCCACAGCTGTAATCACACTTTTGAGCTGAGACTGTAACTGCAGGATGGAGAGTCAGGGAGTAAATTACGTGCCACAATAGAGAAGCAGCGCAGAGCAAGAGAGGGCAAAAGCAGCGCTGGGGAAAGCTCAGTGGCCTCCCAATCCTGAGTCTTCATGTCAATCAAAGCAGCAGAAAAACAGTCCTGAGGAATACTGATCTCCTTGGAGATCACACAAGGAAGATACCAATCTTCTGGCTAGCCACCTCTTGCCCCAATATCCATCCTCTTCCCCCACACCCATGATATGCACAGGGACAATACCTGGAGCTCCACCAGGCTTTCACAGAACATGTTGGTATGGCATGTCCCCATCCCTCAGAGATCCCCAAACTCTGCTGTCCTGGTTTAACCCCAGCTGGCAACTGAGCACCACACAGCCACTTGCTCACTCCCCACCAGTGAGTGGGCTGAGGGAGAGAACTGGAAGAGAAAACTCATGGGTGGAGATAACCTCAGTTTAATAGGTAAAGCAAAAGCTCTGCACACAAGCGAAGCAAAACAAAACAAGGAATGCATTGACAGGCAGGTGTTCAGCCACCTCCAGAAAAGCAGGGCTCCAGCACATGTAACAGTGACTTGGGAAGAGAAGCACCTATGAATAAGTAGGCTTTCTTGAGTACAACAATACTGCTAGCAGTCTACAGAAAGGGCCAGATTTCTCATGACAGCATGCAGCTCCTATGGATCTGCAAGTCGACCAGCACAACATCCTCTCAGCCACAGGTTGTTTTGCTTCGCACAGTCCCATCGCCTTCACCACCCAGACTCATGCACAACCTAGCATGGATACTTATGAGATGTTCAGATCCCAGACTCAAGCACAGCAAGACATGGAACACAAAACCTGCACTCTGGCCACCACCTGGGTTTTCCTAGGCAGTGGAGTAAATAAGGACTAGCATCCTTAGTTAATTCAAAAGAAAAGGGGAGAATTAGTCAAGATGTTAGCTGAGTCAATCTCTTAGTTTTAAAACTAAGCATCTGGATGGGTTTTCTTTACATCTGCACACTCACATAGTAACTCAAGCAATGCTGTTCTATGATTTGGTTTTTTTCTCCTCCACCTCCTGGTAGACTCCAAAAATTAAAAATGTCCTACAAAGAAGTCCCAGGATCTTCCCCCCAGCACAGCCCCTTGCCTACACACGTGCCCCCACTGTAGAGCAAAGACAGAAGAGACTTGAAGCCCTTCACTTTGTTTACTTAACAGCAGCGACTTTTAGAAAAAATGTCTTCCCTTGCCTTTTTTCTTCTTATTTACAAATAATCAGAGCAGGATCTTTCCATGTGGCCAGCATTGTGGCTTCAGGCTTCAAACATTGCTGGAACTCAGTCTTAGAAGCTGACAGCACCCACCAGACAGTAGCTGGCTCCTCATGGCTAGCTGAGCTCAGGTAACTTGCCACCAGCAGTTTTCCCACTACTACTAGGACGCACAACCAGCTGAACAGGAGGTGAGGGGACACACTGTAAGGACTGCAGCCCTCTTACATCTTAAACCAGATTCAATGGGAGTTCAGCTGTGGGTGAAAAAAATTCTGTTGCCTGTGCCAAGCTGACAGGCAGCAACTGTGCAAGGGACATATTAGTGGCAGGTGAGAAGACAAGTGCTGTCCTTGCACTCTGCCTGCAGCACCAACAGGGATACACACCCACAGAGAGCCCTGGGGGCAGGGTACATGAGGAGACCCTCCTCTGAGCCCCAAAGGAAAAAAGCCCACGTGTTAACACAGCATACCTAGCTGCTTGCAGCAGTCTGAAACAAACCAGCTTTCAGATGTAAGTGCCAGCATCAGTTGTCTGAGCAGCCCAGCCCAACAAAGCTGATGCCCCACAGAATCTAAGCACCAAGGTATCCCAGTACCCAGGCTCAAAAGTGCTTCTCCAGCTGCAGGAACAGCCAGCATCACACACCCAACACCACTGGAAACCAAAGGAAAAAAAAGGGAAAGCCAGACAAACCTGATACTGAGCAAAGGAGTGCCAATAGCACTGCTTGTGCTAATCAATTTATTATTTATTAGGTTGGAATTCTGCTGTATACAACTCTGAAAAGATGGCATGGCAGTGCTTCATGTCTTAGAGTGCAACAAGGGTGGGTTTTTTGCTGAAGCCTGGTCAAGATGAGCACAGAAAACCACAGGGTGTCTGGCTCCCTCCTCTCCTGTCACTCACATGGGCTGG